GTTTGGTTTTCGTGACTACTGGTAGCTCTGTGGTAGTGTATTAAATAAAAGTCTTCACTCCCTCTTCAATTTGAAGAGATATAATCTCCTATTAATGAAGCAAAATGCTTTGCTCGTAAGTTCACTTCCACTCTTGACTCACCTACCATATCTTTATTTGACTTCCACTTGGAAATGAGATCATACTGTCTAATAAATATATAACTCTATCTGTGGTTTCTACTGGCATCTCTAAGCTTGATCCCTACAAAGCATGTGGATTTGATGGTATTCTTGCAATTGTCTTAAAGAAATGTGCTCCAGAACTGGCTCTTATTCTCTCTAAGCCTTACAATACCTTGTTTTTCAGTTTGTTGGAATTAACTTTTTGTAGATTCTGTTTTTAAGAACTCAAGCAAACCATCTGAGCCTTCGAACTACCATCTATTTCTTTTTATAAAAGATTTTACACACACACACACACACACACACACACACACACACACACACACACACATATATATATATATATATATATATATATATATATCAAGAAAAGAAAAGCGATACCTTAAGTTTAAAACGAATTTAAAAAAATCAAAATCTTTCTTGAAGCTTTTATTTTAGTTTTAATTTCAAGTTAATAAAATGATAATATTTAAAATATGCAAGATACTTTCTTGTATTTCACAAGGAATTTAAATTAATTGGAATAATTTTTAATCTTTAAAAATGGCTAATTTTAGCCATATTTACAAATCTGTCAGCACAATATAATTCTCTTTATTAAAAAAATATCTAAAAAATAAAATATATTTTTCTAAAACTTTATTTGAAGTTGATTTAAAGTTTAATTAATCTGATTTGAAATAAATATTGCTTACTTATGGTTTAAAACATTGCATAAAAGTATCTTTTAACAGGCAGATGGTATTTTTGTGAGGTGTTGGCAACTATTGCGATAGACTTATATTTGAGAATTTTTTCTACGGGGGTAGATATCTTTAATAATTACCTGACGAACATAACGCGAGCGCCTTTCTTAAATAATTTTTTAACTATCCAGTAATTTTAAAAATTTAAGAAAATATTCTAATTAATCTAATATATTATTGGCTTTAAATTTATTATAGCTAAAGATCTTATTTTCTGATAATGTCGTGTATGGACGTCCGTATTTACTAAAATCAGCAAGCAAGAAAGTTCAAAATTCTTTTTAAAATACTGGTTGTTGCTGAATTATAGTAAGCTTTTCTATTTATGAATAGTAAGCATAGTTTTTACTTAATAAAAATACCATCTAACCGCTAAAAATTAATATAGAATTTATGAATAAGTCCTGAATTAATAAATTTAATTTAATATTACCAATAAGCAAAATATTTTGCTGTATTTCAAACCGAATTTAAATTGATTGAAAAAATATAATCTATCAACACAACATAATTCTCTTTAAAAAGATCTTCCAAAAATAAAATATGCTTTTCTGAAAATTTAACTAATCATAGGGTAACAAGTGTAAAAAAAATATTTTTACCTAAAAACCAAAACAAAAAATCAATATTTTTAACCAAAATTTCGAACGTTCTAGAAAGAAAAATAATGTTTACATCAAAAATACTTTGGCCTTTCCTCTTAATACTACAAAGATTTTGACGATAAAACTTTTTCATCATGTATGCTAATATTCTAGAGAATCATTAAAGGAACACACACACACACACACACACACACACACACACACATATATATATATATATATATATATAATTCCAGAGAAGCGAAAGCTATATTGTTTGTCCGATAGAAGACTCTGCGAGGTGAGAGGCTTAACCAATTCCTGAATTGATTAGAGCCGTCAATTTCACAATGTGCTGACCGTGTTTGGAAAATAAAACGTTCCTATATCTCTTGATACACACATAAAACATGCATATATTCATTTAAAAATAAACTAAATTCATCCTTGCTAACAGCTTTTAGCCGAAAGCCCTTGGACAATTTTTATATAATTTATGTCCTAAAAAGAAAAAATTATACGAACACACGAGAAATTATAGAAAAAAACTTAACCATCACACCTTGTCAGTCGTTTTCAACGAAAAGTGGAATTACTGCCCAAATACAAAATTGTATGATTAACTGAGTCTTTATTTTATCAGTTCAGGTCATCATATGATTTTAAATTAAAAAAAAGAAACAGAATAAATGATTCCTGTTATTGACTATCAAAAACTGTACAATTATTTTTTTCTCCCTCATATTCTTATGTTTATATATTACTGATGCAAAAATTGCTATCACTGTCTTTTGCGTCTGGATTCACATAGAACTTCTATTCAGATACTCAACTTTATTGTTTGTTCTCACATACATTCTAAGAATTGTATCAGGAGGAAACATTATGTTTATTTTGTTGAAAATCATGATTGACTATAGAATGCATATTTAAAGAAGATTAAAGACTCGGAGACGGGTAAGCTTTTAGGAAGAACTATGCAGAAAAAAATACCACTTAATTTTGTTGTAGAATTATAAATGGATCAGTTAGAATATGCACAAGTAAATGGGTTCTACATGGCTTCATGGAAAGCGACATTTTTCTTTACTGTTCGACATAGAAGAAAGTCTTGGTTCACGCAAATAAACGACACTACTTTAGCAATGGCTGTACAGATTTTTACTCCTTGAAGTAATTGAATAAGTATAGGAATGGAGACAGTTTTGTTATTTTTGTGGCATTCCCATCCAGTCTGGACTACTTTTATAATTATTGTTAGTTTTCCTTTTTTATTTCGTTTCATATTCTTTTATTATTTTTCTCGTCTTCATTCACTTTTTTCTTTTTTCTTTTTATTAATCTTCATGGTCCATGTTTTATCATTTTTTCTTCTTCATTTCATTTCTGTTAATTTCTATTTTTCTCTTTTCGATTGTGTATTTTCTTCTTTTTTTCTCTTGTTCTGTTTTCTGTCTTCTCTTTCTTTTCTCATTCCCTTTTTCTTTCTTTTCTCATTCCCTTTTTCTTTCTCCACTTGTCTATATTATTTTTTCTAATCAAGTGTTGTTTTTACTTCTTCACCTCGTATTTGCCACTTGCTTTTTTTCTATCTGATTATAATTCCTAGATATCTTTCTATTTCCCTAGTTTTCCTGCAGATAATTATTTCAAGCCTCTGTCACTTCCCTTTACCCTTCCTTCTACTCATTTTTTGGTTTTTATTTTTTATGCATTCATTTTCCTATTGATTTACCTCTTCTCAATCCAATAAGATACCATCATTGATGTTAAGTAGTCCGTCAACGTTTACAAATTTTGATCTTTACATTATATATTTTTTGAACTCAGAACGTGCAATATTTCCATCAGATATAAAGTATTTTTACCTGTTTCACAATGCATAAAAATGGATGAGAATTCAAAATAAATGAATTGAGAAAAAAAAAAAAACACTATTTGAAATCGTTTGCCCCAAGATTTGCAATATATAATGGGGTAGTTATGCATATTTACTTCTTAATTTCAGACTCATAAAGGTTGTCATGGGTCATAAGAAAGAGAGAAACAAGATATTATAAAGTTTTTTAGTGATGGAAATGCAATGTTGGAAATTGCAAAAATTTAAACAGTGATTATAGAACGATAAAAAAATGGAAACATTGGCAAGTATAATAAAAAAAAAACTGGAATTAAGAATGTCGCAAAAAAGTGTTGAGAAAAACTAAGGTAATAATTAAAAAGAGTGGTTTAACCAGGAAGAAAATATTGAAACGTCTAGTGTTGAAAATGTAACTAAGGAGAAAATATGAAGAGTTCTAAGGACATTTGCTAAAGCTATGATATGAACAAAAGTAAATATTTCTAAAGACAGTTGGATGAAGAAGTACAGTAACGTTTAGTGATGAATGTAGAGCTACATTTGACGAACCTGATGAGCTGGTGGTTTATTTTTTTTTAATAATTTTCATGTGGTGAATTCAAATTTCTGAACAACTCTCTCTATCACCTCTATTTTTTTTCATTTATTTCACAAATCACATTCAGTTATACTGCATATAAATTCAAAATATACTGTTTATTTTATCTATTACCAAGGTATATTACAACCCCTCCCCCAAAAAAAACCCAAACAAACAAAAAACAGCATAGATACAAAGCATTGATGGAACTAAATTACTTGGATAATACCATTATATTATTACACGTCATAGTATAGTATTCAGAAGTGAGTTTGTTTTTTGTTTTTTGTTTTTTTGATGATCTCGTATACTTTGCATCCGGTATATTGCACACGGACATTCAGTAGAAGTCCCCCATCATGTCGGAGTTACATTTGCGTTATTAGTTTCTTTCTGTGTTAATAATATCTTGGTGGAATGTTTCTCTATGCTCATCACTCACTGCTCTGAGTTTCATAGGGAAGAAATTAAGTGTTTGAGTTGAGAATGTGAATTTTGAACGACTTTTGGAATCTCATATCCCCATAAACCTTTAACAATGCTCTTCGTAATCTGGTTGCTGTGTATTACTAAGGAATCCATGGCAGACTGATTTAAATGTTCTCCACGCTCTCAATTCATTTAGGATAAGAAGGTTCTGCGGTAGCACAACCTGTTTTCCATATCAAAGAATGAGGCGAAGTACTTGTTTCGTGTCCTGGAACTGGTGATCCTTACATTTGCTGTGGTCAGGTTTCACTGCTTTAACCCCTGGAGATCTGACTGCTTCTTAGATAGATACAAATCACGGGCAAAGTCATTGAGGTTTTCCTGGGTGATGCAGTAGGAGTCACTGCCACTTGCTCCTGAATAAGCAGGGACATTGTCTTCAGAAGAGATCGAATTGGCAGAATTATGATGAAGGAATAAGATATTTATGTGCTGGAGGTGTAGGGGTAAGGTGATAAATTGACTAAGGAGCAGGTCTCATAGCTGAAGGAAGCTTGAAATATTTTTTATTGGGGGTGGGAAGAAATAATGAAACCAGTTGTATTTGTTAGGCAAAAATAACAATTATCTGCATGGCATCGTTGCTCTCTCCAGACAATCAGGAGAGCAATGTTGAAGGCTTCTTTCTTGTCATGAAACTATGCAGTCCATCCAGAGTTTATAACAGCTGCATGAGACCCAGGATTTGTCCTGGTCTCCAATTTTACAGTCAAAATAATGAAAGTAAGCAGTTCTCAGGAGAGGCATTTGTGGCCCTGTTGCTGCGTGCTTCGATTGAATGTCACCCTTACTTTGGTCTGACTCCAACGGTCCATCTCTAGCGAGCACACTCTGTATCAATCCTGTGATCCCCATGTTGCGTTTCAGTATTCGTTGTATTCCGCAGGAACATCGGTGAAAAACTGTCGAAGATCAGGCTTGGCTCATTTTCTGCCCTATCTATGCTCGTGAACGACTAACATCACCGGTGTCGAAGGTAATCTTAATTAACTTCAACAACGCTCATTAAAAAGTGTAAAAATAACGATTTTTACTTATGGTACTATGATTGCTTAAGATCATTGCGAATAACGCCAGCGTCAGAACACTAGAAAAGTTTCAAAAATCGATAGATAAAAAAGTTAAGAAAAGTTATAGAATGTTAAAAATGCCACATTAACATGTAAAATAATAAAATAATATATATATATATATATATATATATATATATATATATAATTATTATTTATAAAAAAATTATAACATAAGTATGTTATAAAATCACTACAAAAATAGCCATTTTGTTTCAACACACTCTGTGTCTTATCAAGTGAAGAATAGTAATTGTTGGTTATTGGAATTCATTCCGTATATACCAATTATATACTTATATATATATATATATATATATATATATATATATATATATATATATATATATATATATATATATATGATTAATTAAAAGTTTCTATAACGTCTATCATTTTGATTGAAATATAAATAAAAATTCATAATGCACTTAGTTTGATTGAATAATAAAACTGACATCCCCCAGGAAAATTATTAACAATATTGTTAATAAAGACAAATATTATAAAGTGAAATGCTGCTCATATAAATAAAAATACATGCAGAAAATCTGACGTAGTGTATTCATGCTGAAAGGTTGAATCGAGGAAGTTGGTCAAAGATTGAAAACGAAATCAGAATTATGAGCTGTAAGAATTCCATATGGAAACTTGAGATTCAAATTATATTTGTGATTTAAGTTTTAAGTTACAAACCTTGCTTAGAGTAAACTTATCTACAATTTTAAAATTTTGCTAAGCACGTTATACTAAAACAAATAATTAATAAGACTCCGTTATATGGTGCTATTCGAGTTTTTATTTACATTTTAGAGAGGCCCCAATCGGTCTACGAAGCTCCAACACTGGTCCAGAAGTCAATACATCAGCAAAAGACCAGGAGAATACGAAAACTAACGAAGAATCTTCGTCCGTAAAACTAGTGGAAGATGGTCCACCCGATGATAAAAAAGCTTTCTTTGGGCATCCACTGACCGCTGCTACATCAGCAATTAATGGCGATGATACACAGGCACTGAGGGCAGCCCTCCAACATGAGTATATGAATTTTTCAGCAGCATACAGCAACGATGCAAAAGATAAACTTTTCTCATTATGTGATGTAACTAGGTAAGTAGTTTCATACTATTAATTTTACTACTAGAAACAAATATGTACATATTCATTTTCAACAGATTTAGCATTTATTTCTTTCGCATCAATATTGAATGCTCAATTCTTTCTTATGCGACCAATTCAGAGCCCCACAAACGTACTTGTCTTTTCGTCCTGGTTACTATGTAACATTCCAGATATTTTTATAAAAACAAATTTTCTAACCATTTCCTTCTATCCTGTAAATATAGTCTAGATTTACTAACTCAGCTTTTTTGTGAATAGTTTATAAAGAGCGCAAAATTTTCGGCTGATTTTCTATTAAAATTTGACAGTGAAAATACAATATGCATGTTAGTCATGTTGCAGTCTATTTCCATTTTTCTTAAACTAGAAAAAAAAACTTAAAATACCTTAGAACATTAGTACAAATGGGATAATTAATATTTTTTAAATGTATTTGAAGTGTAAAGACATTGAACTACACCAAAATATCATAAATGCTTCATGTAGGTATTCGAACTGATTCCAAACTAATGTAAAAAAGTTATTAAGCATCCATCAAATTTTACACTGTCAAAAGTAGATGCTTGATAACGCAGCTAAATCCAAGGGAGAAAACTCTAAAATTTTAAACATTGAAAATTAATATAATTACATTTACGAAATATACTGCTTAAAAGTCTGAATAAAAAAATGATAATTCCTACAAGATTTTATTATATTTGATTTTTATTAATCGTGAATTTCTGCTAGGAGGAATTTCAGTGACTTAGAAAAGTGTAAAAAAAAAAAATCAGGAGAAAAATCCAAATATCTCATGTAAACAAATTAGCTTTGATGGAAAGAAATATATGATGCAACCTTCAGGTTATATATCCAAAGCAAATTTGTATTAAGGAAAAGTAAGCTCTATTCAAACACTGAAGCAATTTTAGGGATTATATGTTTTTAATTTTTAAATCTAAGGGAACAAACTCTTATGTGAAAAGTTAGCACTTGAATAATTACAAAACAAAAGTATGAAGCTGTCACATATGAAATGACGCATTTTGACGTTGGTTGTTGATCCGGTCGTCTGAAGAAATAACCGCCATAGTATATAAAAATATTTTGACTTATTCTTGACTCTTTTTCTTTCCAGATAATTTTTCTTTCAATATATTGTTATTCACAAGCCCAATGAAAATGATTATAATGAAACAATGTCGAGTAATCTTAAACTAGTAAAAAAAAAAAATTTTATATCGAAACATTACATGCGATGAGAATTGGATAGTCTTTGACAACAGTAAGAGAGTAGGCTAATGGTTAGATGCAAGTGAATCATCAAAACAATACCCAAAACCTTTACTATACCCTAAAAAGATAATGGTTACTGTATGGTGGTCTCCCAAAGGGGTTATTCATTTTTGCCTCAAGAGAAAACAATAACAGCAACCTCGTATCACGGAGTAATTGGGTGTATGCACGAAAAAATGAAAAAAGAAACATCCTTTCTGAATAGTGATGGATTTTGTTGACGATAACGCACAGCTGCACTTTCCAAGAATTGTATAGCCTGAACTATGAAATTTTCACTCATTCTCCATATTCACCAGATATCTCTCCTATCACTTAAATAATTTGAGCTTTTCACGGGCAATAAAACATTGTCTAATAAGGAAGAGGTAATCAAAGCATTTCACATCAAAGGAAGAGATTTTTTTAGAGGTGCGTTGAAGAAAAGACACTCATCAACACTGTGTCTATTTCAACTAAATAAAATAGTTATTAAACATTTCAGAAGTGTTTTATTCATTTCCTATAAAGTGCGTCATTTCATGTGTGACAACCTAATATAAATTATCTCAGTATACCGTGTACTAATGTGCAAACACATAAGCCTTCATTAGTGTAGTGAAATAGGCGCACATGCACAGCCAACCATACATTACTACTAAATAATACAAGCATTATGCAGATTATATAACACAATAATGTCGGTATATCTATATGAATAATTTATGTACACATTGATAGTTAGATATATGAAGAGTGCTGAAAACTTCTCAGCTCGACAAGAAGCGTTTAAAAAATTTCTAATGTTTGGCGCTTTGGCTACATCTTGGGAATTGGATCGAGCCGATATTTTCTGAGAACTGCGGCGTATAAGCGGCTTCATCGACATTTATTTGAAATGCCTCAGACGTTTTCATTTTGAACATATCAAACACACACACTCTCTCTTTTCTCTTTCTCTCTCTTTCTCTTTATCTCTCTCTGATTTGTTTTGTTTTAGATCCACTTAATACTTATGAAAAATGTTTGCTTCATTCTCATATCATGTAATCATGAGAACATACAAACTTAAATATATATGAAAACTAAGAAATAACTGATTAAACATTTTATTAATCGGTTCAAAGACGTTAGAAGACTGAAGTGAAATAAAAGGTTTGTACGGTGACGTTCTTTCATTCACAGATTTTCTGATCATGAACATATATACAGGCTCATGTTTAAATCAGTTCTTATGACAAATTATCGATGGAACTGACTACATACTACTATATCTTTTTAAATATGTGACGTTATTTTTAAGTTCGTTGTATCAAAAAGTAAATGACTGATCAATCCCTGCAGCTTATCAGGTATTAAAATCATTTTTTGTTCTGAAATATCCAAACTCATTGTTTATTGAATACATTGTCACTTCAGAGACCAAATGGCAGATCCATTACAAATAACATGGACATGACCTGATACATGCATACAAAGCTAGCATGTATTTAGATTGTGTGTAGACATAAACAATTAATTCTATTACCAAACAAATTTTTGCTATTATTTAGGAATCGGATTGTACTCGTTTTAGTACACTTAAAAGGTAAATTTAAAATTCTTATATAATTTTTAAAATCTACCCATTAATTTATTATTAGAATTAACAAAAAAAGTGTGTAATAAATATTTGTGGGTAAACGTGAAAATAAGAGAGTGATAGTGAGAGTGACAGTGACATTGAGAGAGACAGTGAGAGAGACAGATTGACAGACAAACACACAGAGCATGCACAGTCGAGTGAACAGACATAATACTGTCTGTGCTTCAAATTCAAGATAGCAGTCGAGTTTTCCTTAGCCTTATTAATATCATTTTTTATCACGGAGATTTATAGTTTCTTATTGATATAGATAAGTACGCATACTTTAAAAAATAATTATAAAAGAAGGAAAAGTTGTTTTAGAAATATGATTTTCCCCTCCGCTAATAGTTTTATATCATGCTATTTAACTTTTTATGCTGGTTATATAAACTATAAAAGCTCCTAATCCATTTTTTGAAGGTCTCAGCCTTCAATGAATGGGTTTTTCAACTGATGTATGTATATATGTGTGTGTGTGATATATATATATATATATATATATATATATATATATATATATGTTCTACATATAGGTATATATATATTTCTACATGTATGTATATATATCTTCTACATATATATATATATATATATATATATATATATATATATATATATTTTTCTACATTCAACACAATCACTTGATAAGACACCAAAGTGTGAAACAAAATGCCTATTTTTGTAGTGATTTTATATATTTATAATATTTATGTTATAATTTTCGAATAAATCATTATATATATATATATATATATATATAATATTAATATTAAAATTAATATTATTAAAAATAAAAAAAACTCCTGATTATAAATCTTACTATTCTTTCTCATTATATATATATATATATATATATATATATATATATATAAAAGAAAGAACAGTAAGATATATAATTCAGTGTTCTTATATATATAATATACATACTTATACTTGAAGTGAGTGAAAATAATTCTACATACAGTAAGGGATTCTAATACATTTAATTGTTCTTAAAAGAAATATAGTATATTAAAAATTAAAAGTGGAAATATTTCCAATCGTAATTAAATAAAGCTTATTCTAACCTAAACACCCACCAAAAATCTTTAAATATACAAATAGAAAAAAATGCCGTAAGAATTTTTGCCGTTAACAATAAAAATTTTTAAAAATCCAGACGACATGCATTTAACGGATGTTAGATTTCATTGAAAAATACATCCCTACCTCCTACCAAAACGTAACTAATAACGGATACATCAAAATATAGACATAATGAACACGCGGACACCCCTCGTCTGGTTGAATTGGATTTCTCTGTATCCTTGGAAACGTGAATTATGATTTGTGCTGTGTCTTTAAAACCCAGTAATTTTAAAAGTTACTCCAAAATTCGCTTGAGGATGAAATGGAACTAATGGCTTTAATTTTTTCTCTCCCCGATAACGACGAGTATATGGCAACATACAGACGAGCAGTCATAAAAGGGCAATCAGATACATTGCATATCTTCAAAATCAGTTATGTAAACTAATAAATAATACAAACGCACCCCTACAAAAAAACACATATAGCTATAGACTCACATGATACTGTCGTAAAGTTACATACACATTTAAGTATTTGATATACGTAGGCTGAAGCAAAGGTAGTCATGATAAAAGTTTCAGTGAATTAATTTCCCGTCCTTACTTTCCACTGTGAATGTAATCATGCAATGGGTGTGGCCACACTCATTTTCCCCCATCTGCCTCTCTTTCACACACACACACACACACACACACACACACACACACACACACACACACACACACACACAGTGACGTTCAGATAAAAAAAAATAGTGTTTTAATCATAATTGATCCGACGTTCAATGAGACGCGGATGCAACATAATAATAAATAAACAATAAGGAAAATAGTGGAGTTTCTTGGGTCAGCATAACCTGCATTTTCGGAAATTATGAATACTTGATTAACTATATAGATAGAAGTTGCAGAAAATGATTTCCTTCAGCCAGTAGTTTTTCAAAGCACACCTGTGAGATGTAAGATACATAAGTTTCGCCTGAACCATTTACATTTGATAATTCAAATAAATTCGAATTTATGCCGAATTTAGTGCT